GAAGTTTCTGATAAATTAATTTTGCCTCAATAAAACTGTTAAAAATGAAAAAAAAAAAACAATGTTTAAGTTCTTGTTCCTAGTGAGATACAGTAAGTACATGCCACTGAATGTAGCTATGGAAACTGGACAGAGCACACAGGACACTAACTGGAAGATGCTGATAAATCACAGAAAGATGCATACTAGAGAAGCAGACCAGAATGGAGCACTGCAGACACACAGCAAACTGATCATCTGCCCACCATCATCCGCCCTACCTGATCATCTGCCCCCTACTCCAATCATCTCTGCCCCACCTGATCATCTGCCCCTCCAATCATCTGCCCCCCATCATCTATCTCTCCCCCCCTCCCCCAACACACACTTGGTCCTAAACATGTGGCTAGTGGCAGAAAGAGTGCAATAGAGTCAGATGCTTAAAGCCTCAGGTTTCTGCTTAGAAGACCAGGAAAGGGATTTCCATGACCCAGAAATAACTGGAGAGAGCATGGTAAGAGCAGAGCTCAAGAAAACAGTGTCACAGTTGTCTATAAACCTCTGGGCTCAGCCTCTAGCTGTACCTGTGTAGGTTCATCCTGAAGCAACAGAATCCAGTTCAGTTAATTCCTCAACTGGCCACTGGGTGGCTGTCATGAGGAACTATCTGAATGGCATGGCGATGGCTTTGAAAACACTGTACTGTGTACTGTACTGTGTGTGTGAGGCACACACCTGACAGATCAGAACTTCTGGTCTGAGCCTAGCCAGGCCAACTACTCAGTACAACAAAAGCGCCAATATTTCAGTGGAATTTAAAAATAAGATCCAGATTTTCAAAACATAATATACAAAATGTCTACTTAGCAACCCCAAATCACCAAACACACAAAGTAGGAAAATCTGAAGTCACACGGGAAAAAATAACCCAAAGGTGTCAGCACCAGGAGGGTACAAACGTTGGCCTTTTAAACAAAGACGTTTTAAAACAGTATTTTATTTATTATTTTTATTTTATGTGTATATGTGCATTGACTGCATGTAGATAAGTGCACCCATGTCGTGCAATGCCTGCAGAAGACAGAAGACGCTGTCGGATCCCCTGGAACTGGAGTTACGGGCAGTTGTTAGCTGCCATGTGGGTGCTGGGATTCGAACCCGGGTCTTCTTCAAGAACAACCAGTGCTCTTAACCTCTGAGCCATCTCTCCAGCCCCTAAACACTTTTAAACAGCTATTGTAATAATCTCCAATGTGATTGCCATACATCACTGATGAGACCAGCATAATCATTACATCAACTACTGTTTCATAGTTCCTGAATAAACCCTAACCTGTTACTTCTTCACTGAGATGTCAAAAGTTGGGAGATGCAGGGGAACTTGGAGACAGAATACTTTACACTTTGCTCTTATGAGAAGCAGAGAACATGGAAGTGGGATGGGCTGCTGTAGTCTGGTGGCCATGACTTTCTCTTGGGTGTGTACATGAGAAAACTTGCTTCCATAAATACTACAGTTATGACTGACTTTTAAAATATTAATCAGGGATGGGGGTGCAGTTCAGAAGTAGAGATCTTGCCTAGCATGTGCAAAACTCTTGGTTTGATATCTATCACTGAAAACAATTAATCAACTGCACTTTGCTCAGTGTAAGGAAAGGTGTAACTCAAACTCCAGGCACCTTGTGGCAATGATGTCTGGTCAAATAATGAACAGCTGGGGCCAAGTCTTATGTGTAAAATACATGAAAGCACTAACATTTTGAGAAAATAGAGGCAAACATTCAGATAATCTTGGATGGAGAAAATCCTGTCTGAGAAGATCTGAAGAGAGAACCAATCAGGGACGACAGGCTGGGAGGGAACCAGGGATGACGGAGTGCACCAGCACACACGGTTCACTGCAGAGATGAGGGCTAAACACGGTTAGAAGGAACCAGGGATGACGGAGTGCACCAGCACACACTGTTCACTGCAGAGATGAGGGCTAAACACGGTCAGAAGGCAATCTGACAAAGCTACAGAAAGAAAAACTGGAATAACCTCTGCCCCATAACACACAAGTACCAGTGAGCAGGGCTCATGCTCAGGGTGCTCCCTGCAGTGAAACACTGGCTCACCAAGCTCATGGGTACAAGGGAGGTGCATGCTCATTATTTACTCTCAGAGGCAGCTCCACAACCCAAGGGTGAAATGGGACTACACAGAGAAAAACAAGAGACAGAGAAAGAAAGCCCTGAAGACACCCAGATGGTATGAACACCTGGCAGGTCTGTACCACCTAAGGGCTCTGTGAAGGGGAATGGCTAGTGATCACCTCCAGGAGAAGGTATAAGGCTGAGAGATGGTTGAGACCTGAGAGCCTGCATCCCAGAGCAGCCTCCCTGTGCCCAAAAGAATGCCTACCCCATGCCAGCCTCTCTCTCCTCCTCACACAGCCACCTGAGGGAGGCCAGCAAGGACTCCTTCTGCCTGTCACTGGATACACTGTATATGTAGGTGCCTGGCTGATGGCCTAGCAACTAATCAGGGACCCATGGGATGAACATAGAGAGACGATTTGAATAGTTTTACTCTTTAAAGTTCCACTTTTTTTTTCTTTTTTAAAAAATTATCTATCTTTATTTTTTTAATTTTTATTTTTTACAAACCCTTATGTCAAGGGCTGACTTTCAATAGATCGCAGTGAGGGAGCTGCTCTGCTATGCACAAAACCCCAACCCAGAAGCAGGTCATCTACAAATGGTTTAGCACCAGGTTCCACACGAAACCCCTTTCCGACACCCTTTCTGGCCCCTTTCCAACCACACCCTGCTTCCCAGGATGAAGGATCCACATTATTTTTTATTTCAAATATATTCATAATTAGATACATTATACAATGTATATGTGAATTATTCACATATGTAATTCACACATTTAAATCTTAATAGACTCAGGTTAATATAATATCAAGAGTTAAAAATAAGAAAATGAAGAACAGTATTTATGAATACATGTATTTGGAAATATGGAAAGATAGGATGTTAATCACAGTTGTTTCTCCATGTTGAATAAAAGTGACTTTTATTAGTTTGTATTTCTTTTCTGTACTAACACAATTTATATAGTGAGAAATTAGTAACAAGTCTGTGTGCACACATCCACATGTATATATGGGTGTGTGAATGTGGAGGCTGAAGTCAACCTTGGGGGGACACTCTCCAGGAGCCATTCACTTTGTTCTATGAGTCAGGATCTCTCATTGGCCTGAAACTCACCAAACAGGCTAAGCTGGCTGTCCACTGAGCCCCAGGGATCCTCCTATGCCCACCTCCCCAGTACTGGGGTTACAAACTCACATCACTATGCCCAACATTTTTATGTGGGGCTAGGAGTTAAACTGAGGTCTTCATGTTTGTGCAGCAAACACTTTATATAGCTCAGCAAGTCTTCTTCTTCTTCTTTTTTTTTTTTTTTCGATCTTTTTGAGACAGGCCCAGCTGTCCTGGAACTCACTATGTAGACCAGGCTGGCCTTGAACTCACAGAGATCCGCCTGCCTCTGCCTCCCAAGTGCTGGGATTAAAGGTGTGCGCCACCACTCCCGGCCAAGTCTTCTTTTTTAAAATAATTTTTATTTTATTTTGAGTATGAGTGTTTTGTCTGCACACATGGAAGTGCACCTGTGTTGTGCAATGCTCAGGAGGCCAGAAGAGTGTCAGATTCCCTGGAACTGGAGTTATCGACAATTGTTAACCATCATGTGGGTGCTGGGAACCAAACCTAGGTCCTCTACAAGAGCAGCCATGGCTCCTAACTGTTGAGCCATCTCTCCAATCCCTCAGCAAGTTTTCTTTACCTCATAAATACAAAGTCATTTACAAAGCAAGCTGGGAGTGGCGCACACCTGTGATTTCAGCACTCAGTAGACTGAATCTGGGGTAGACAGGGAGACCGTGTCTCAAAAAAGAACTAAAAAAGTGTTATTAAAGTTGCGTCATAACTGCAAGGGCATATACAGTTTCTTCATTAAGAATCGTTTCCACGGGGCTGGAGAGGTGGCTCAGCGGTTAAGGGCACAACGGCTGTTGCAGAGAACCTGGGTTTGATTCCCAGCACCCATATGGTGGCTAACAATCATCCATAACTCTAGTTCCAGGGGATCCAACACCCTTTTCTGACCTCTGCAGGCACTGCATGACACAGGTGCACCTACCAACATGCAAGCAATACACTCATACACATAAAATAAAGATAATAAATAAACATTTTAAAAAAGAATAGTTTCCAGAAACTAAGAATGGAGATGGTATCGGTCAGATAACTTTTGGAAGTCATCTTCTCAGCACGGACCTGAAGAGGAAGATGGGGAGGGGAGCCCTCAAGCACTGAAGTGCCTGGGTTTCTGAGTGAGAACTCAGCCCTTCTTGATCTCAGGACACAGAGATGCTGCCTGAACAGCAGTGGAAGGAGCACACAGGGTGAAACCCAACCACCAGCATGAGGCCCGCTCTTAGAACCAGAATGCACAGTAGCAAATATGCGTCTAGGCCTAACATCAATGGTGAGGGGTGGAAACGGCATACAACTTACGGGGTGCTTGGCTGAAAGTCTTCCGGTCACAGTTCCAGTCTGATTCCATGTACAGGACACAGAGCCCTTGATCAGTTAAAAGCAATCAGTTCAAACTCAAGCAATAACATGAAGAAGAGTACAGGGGGCCCTGTATCTCCAACACATCCTCCCTATCCTCTGGCTACTGGCTTTGAACTTCCAAGCCTGAAACGTACAAAACTGCCTTGTAATCAGGAAGAGCTGAAGGACATTACCCTCTAACCCAACAGAAGCAGCAATAGGCCAAGTCGGTCTGCATCAGTTATAAACTCTGGGGCTGGGGTCGGGGGTGGGGTGGCTGTGGGGACTTAGTACAGACTCAAGGTGGGACTATGTTGAAGGTTCTGCTGTTTGTTGTATGACTTTGTAAGTCACAGATATCTCTGACTGCAGTCTACTCATGGGTAAACTAACAGTAATGTCTACCTCAAATGGTTCCATAAAAGATATGACAGCAGATCTGAAAGCAGGCCAGCCGCAGAGCTGCCTCATGAGTAGTAGGTCTTAGGCATAAACCAACCACAATGCACAGAGATTCGAATAACATAATCACAGTCCATGGTCCCAAGAATGTTAGACTACTCCTCATTTACTGGGAACTGTTAAGTTGTATGTATATCTGAACTCACTATCAACCATACTCCTAATCCAAATTTCTGTTTTTAGGTCTCAGTTACCTTTTCCATGCAAGCTAGTAATCCATCTACAAAGGTCGACTTGATCTTGTGAACCTAAATCACAAAGACAAGAATAGTTCTTTTCTTAAGCTTGTTTAAGTATTCAAACAGGGTGGAGTATATGCTGCTGAACTTACCTCAGACGACTGGGAGTGGAGCCAGGATTGAATAACACAGGCCTGCTGTGAAAGATGCCACCTTACTCTTTTAAAATCAGTCTATCATCTTGCCACATCTCTAGACTTCCAGAGATGCTACAAAGGGGAGCAGATTCCTAAGTCCTCAGCACAGCGTCCTGGCAGCAGGCCCTTTCTCGCTCTCTCCCCATCATTATATCACTTAAGGCAGAAGGTTAGTCTAATACCAGTGTCCCTGAAGGGCAAGGGCTCAGTAAACAGTAGGACTGTTGTTTGGATTGTGAACATGGTTCATGAACAACAGAAGATGTGGAATAAAGAGTAGGTATGTGAACAGAGACAACATGGGAAACTAAAGGAGGAAAGGGGGCATGCCAGTAAATGTCATGGCCCTGGAGCCTGGAAACCAGTGGAAGTTCAGGACTCCTATGGGCACTGGTAGAAGTCTCATTTTCATGTGGAGGGGCAGGCAGACAGTCATCAGTCTCCTTTCACATACGACTCCTCAGGCTCCCAGTGCTGGGCAGGGCAGACTTGAACTTGAGCAAGACGACATCAGGATATGAGGAAGCAGGGCTAACCCGGGGTTGGCTGAGGAAACTGTACCCCTTAGAGCACTATTAAGGCACTTCAACAAATGTGGGATTGTGAATAGAGACAGGGCTGGATAGTTTTTCATCACAAACCACTCACAAAAAGTCAACTTACCTGTCTGTATTCCAAAATTATCCTAGGTAATGGGTGAAAGTCTTGTAGAGAGCGTAACTAAAAAATAAAAGTATATTTCACCAATTACCATGAAGTAATACCTTCATTTCAACATTTCAAACATGTTCAATTTGAGAAAGTCCTAGTAGTAAGTGACATAACAACATATTTTCCAAAATGAAGATTTGTAACAAACCTAGCTTATCAAGCATCTTAAACTCAAGCCCCTACAGAGTCTTTCTGAGGTCCACAAGGAGCTGAAAGTACTTCATGAGCTGAGGAAGAAGGGAGCTCTTGAGACCTTAAGTCAGCGAAATCGAAATCCCACAAAGCCAAGAAAGTGCCTCCAACACGTAGACCAGTGGTTTAGCAACACCCAACATTTGACTCAGCTATCTGGGTAGGACTTCAGGGAAGTGACAGTACAGCACAATCATAAGCTTTTCAGTCAAGTTAGAAATCAAAGTGCAGTAACACACAGGAAAACGCAAGATCAAAGTAAGCACACTGTGTAATTGCTGCCATGGCAAGAAGTGAAATTCCCAGCTTCCCAGTGGGTCCCTGCTCCTTTCTCAGACCCTGACATCTGTTGACCACTACAGGCTACTCTTTCCTGTTTCTGAACATCAGAGCAATAGAGTAGAACAGGTTCTGTGGTTTATTTGCTCAGTATTAAGTCTTGAGGGTTCATCTACGTAGCACGAAGCAGTGCTTTGTGATCCGCATGGCTGTATGGTTTCCAAGCGCAGGAATGCAGGACAACTGTGCATTCCGTCCTTGGTGGACACAGGCTCTTTTTCCACTGTAGGGCTTTATGAATAATGTGACTGTAAACATTCTGGTGCACATTAGTTAACAACCGCCACAGTTCTGGGGGACGTGCACAGAAAGGTGTAAATTATTGCTGGCCCATATCTGCAGACACAATTCTCGAGGGTAAACATACCAGTTATCCCATCAGCAGGGCCTGTATATATGCCAATGGCGCTGCATCCTCGCCAATGGACATTAATTACCATTCGTCTTGATATTTGCTGTTTTGATAGTGTCCTAGTTTGTTTCTCAATTGCTGTGACAAAACACTCTGACCACTACCAACTTGGGGAGGAAAGGGTTTATTCAGCTTACATCTCCCAGGTTGCACTTCATCAGGGAGCCCAAGGTAGGAACTCAGGGCAGGAACCTGGAAGCAGGAGCTGGAGCACAGGCCATGGAGGAATGCTGCTTACTAGCTTGCTCCTCTGGCCCCTGCTCAGCCTGCTTTCTTATGCAACACAGGCCCACCTGCCCAGGGGTGGTACCACCCACAGTGGGCTGGGCCCTCCCACATCACTCATCAAGAAGATGCCCTTCAGACATGGCCACAGGCCAGTTCAATAGAGTCAATTCCCCAATTGAGGCTCCTTCAACCCAGGTGTGTCAAGTTGACACTAAAGCTATCCAGTACAGATAGCTAAGAAGAAATATATATGGACTTTAATTTATAATTCCCCAATAACTAGTAAGGTTGGCCTTGGCTCAAGCATTAGCGTACTCATCACACACCTTTATTCTTGAAACCCCTGTTTCTGTCTTGCTCCTTTAGAAACAGTCTGTGTGTCTTTTCCTTTTTGACTGTAGGAATTTGTCATTCTAGATAGGGTTTTGTCAGTTATATTTATTGAAAGTATCCTCCCCCTTTGGGGCTTGCTTTATTACTCATCTAATGGTATTTTTTCATAAACAGAGCTTCTTAATTTTACTGCTGTCTAACTGACCAATATGCATATAAAGATTTGTTTGTGGGTTTTCTATTGTACTATATTGGTCTATATGTTTTATCCTTGAGTCAACACCAAACAGCATTGCATAAGTAATTCCTAGCCATTTTTATTTCTTTATAATTAGTCTTGGTATCAAATACACTGACTTCCTACAGTGCACCCCCAATATTATCTTTGCTCTTCTTAGGTTTTTGTATTTCCCTGTAAGTCTGGGAGTCAGCTTGACAATTCCTATGAAAAATCTTTTGTTTAGGTTTTAATTAAGATTTGCAATCTATACTTGGGGAAGGAAGGGTTGACTATGATTTTGATGGACTCATATGAACCACTGGATTATATGGGTCTCCATCTGAATAAAGACTGGGGACACAGAGTTCTAGCCACAGAAACACAAATAGGCATTGGCACAAGCAGGCACTGCCCAGAAAGAGAAATCTTGCCTCAGAATAACCCAGACCTGAGGTTTTCCTGGAAAAGCTAACCCTAGGAGGAGAAAGTACAGAAAACACCAAGCTAGGGATCTGTTAAAGGCTGACATTCCTTATCGCCGTCCCTCACTCACAATATCTTTCTCATCAATACCTCCCTGTGCGTCTTGACATGAGCAGCCTGGGAACACCAAAAAGAATTAAGCCTTTGATCACATAAAGCTGTGTACAAGGTACAGCAAACACTAAAGGGTTAGACGAAGAGGCTGCAGGGTGCCTGCTTCCCTGAAGCTTTATCAAAGGCTATACTGACATCACAGTCTTCTAAACTCCCTCTGCTTGGCCATTCCACGGCACCCACTGGTGCCTCTTTGACTTCCAAGTGTCGAGTTTTCAGGTTTTCACTCAGGCTGTTAATGCTAACTGCTCTAGTGCTATTAAAATCAGAGGGAGCTTAAAAAACAGCCTAGAGACCAGGCCACCTGGCCAATTCTGACTCGGTGGCTCTCAGTCATAATGCCTGGGCATCTCTGTCATCCAAGTGTCCAGGCAGAATGGAGGGAAACTGCCCCAGGGCAGCTATAATAGACCCTGCTAACAACATCTATGTGTTCATCTCCAATACAGGACTTGTTGTGAGCTCTGTCCCACACAACTACCTGGGCAACACGGTGCAATAGTCCCTTGGTGTGCACTTCTGTTCTAGCACATCCAAGACTGAACAACCAGCATCCCACAAAGAAACTGTTCTCTCCCCCATTTTCCCTTGGTACTGACCATATCTGTCTGCACACCCGTGAAACTAAGACACCTAGGACTCACACTCTGACTGCTCATGGGAGTGTACTAGTGTCCTTTCTGTCCTAAGAGTGCTCTGATGGTCACCTGCTTCATTCTGTTCCACTGCCATCACCTGGGCCACAGTGACAAACCTATATGTCAGTGAGCTTCTTTCGTTCTCCAGCCAGTTACAAGGGGGATATAAAAAAACCCACATCTAACACCTTCTAAAATTGTGTTCAAAGCTAGCAACATCAGATGCTGGCAAGGATGCAAGGCAACAAGAACTCTTACTCACTGGCAGTATGGAAAATGGCACAGTTGCTTTGGTTTCTTCTAAACTCGACAGACTCTTAGCACATGATCAGCAGTCATACTCCTTGATATTTACCCAAAGGAGCTAAAAACGTGTATCCACATAAAGATCTCTGCAAGGATATTTGCAAGACCTTTATTCACAATTGCCAGAATGTGGAAGCAATCAAGTTGTTCTTCAGTGGGTGAATGGACAAGCTGTGGTACACCCAGACACTGAAATATTATTCAATACTAAAAATAAATAGCTACCGAGACACGGAAAGACACAGAAAACCTGAAGCGCACATTGCTGAGGGAAGCCAATCTGAAAGGGTCTAGACTGTGTAGCCACATCTACTGTATATGTCATTCTGGAGAAGCCAAAACCATGGAGACAATACAAAGATCATTGGTTGCCAGGGACTAGGGGAGGGGGCTGAATACACACAGCACAGAGGATTTTGAGTGCAATGAAAATGCTCTGTGAGATACTGTAATGATAGATACATGTCATGTTTTTGTTTCAATTCACAGAATGCCTAACACCAGAGGGGGGCCCTAATGTCATGTGTAGAATTGGGTACTGATACATCACTGTAGATTCATCAGTTGGAACAAATGTGCCACTCTGAGGAGGACGTTGATAGTGGAGGGGATTGTGCATGTGTGAGGACAAAGGAGCATATGGAAAATGTGAACTGTTTGATTTTGTTGTGAATCAAAAGCTACTCTGAAAAATAGTCTACTACTAATAAAAAACAAAAACAAAACGAAAGGACATCCCTTCCCAGTCTGTAAAATACAGCCTGATGGCTTCCTTGCCCACATCTCAGTCAGCTATAAGGCCACAACCTCAGAGCCCTGAACAGCTAGAGCACCCCACTGCCAGGCCCTGTTCCACATCCCTGTCACAGACAGCTTCTGATTTTCACACTTCAGCTGAAGTATCATTTCTTCAGAATTCTCTCTGGACATCTCAGTCTAAAGCATGCCACTAGCCCCGGCGTTTGCTCTCAAGTCCTGCTTTCTCTTGAGAGGACCTTATTCTACTGGAGATATACGTTCCAGTGTCAATTTGAGTGGATCAAGGACCACATGGTACAGCATTTCTTCTGAGTGTCTCTATGAGGATATGTCCAGGAGAGATTGAAGTGAGGTTTAGACAAAGTAGAGGGGCAATTTACCCTCAGGGTGAGTGGCTACATTCTATTAGTCAGGGCCAGTATAGAATATAGAATAGAATATGGGAAAAGTGACCTTTCTCTCTTTCTGGGATCTAGGACGTCTTTCCCCATGGACATTAGAACTCCATACTGTTCAGTCTTTGGATTCCAGGACATATACTAGTGGTCCCCTGGGCTCTTAGACCTCTGGCCTTGAATTAAGAATCACATAATCAGCATCCCTGGGACTTGAACTGAGACATGTTATCTGTATTCCCAGGTCTCTAGCTCTTTTGCCAGCTGAGACTTCTCAGCCTCCATAATCTCATAATCCAGTTTTTCTAATAAAGCCCCTCTCATATATCCATATCTATCCTATTCTGTACCTCAGGAGAACCCTGGCTAATACAATTAGTCACTGGATTGGCTATTTCATGATGACAAACACGTTTTACGCACCTGGCTATAAATAGTGTTTCAGAGCCAAGGCCATAGTAAATGTCTGTTGAATAAAACAGAGATGCCTGGGCTAGGGAGATGGCTCAGTAGATAAAGTGCTTACTGTGAAAGCATGATGGCTGGCATTCAATCACCAAAAACCCAACACAGACACCTGGCAGGTGTGGAAGCCTGTAATCCCAGCACCTAGGAGATAGGGATGGAATCCCTATCTAGCTGGCCTAGCTGGAATTGGCAACCTCTGGGTTCAGAGAGAGACTCTGCCTTAGTGAAAACATGGAGGGCAGTTGGGAAAGACACTGACATCAACTCGGGCCCTCCACATGCACAGGCACACATGTGTAACACTCACCCATGTGTAGTTCCATATATGTGAGCATACATGTACACACACCACACTCACACGTACATGCACAAAATAAAATAAAGCCATCTCCTCTATTCATGGCTGTATTCCAAAGCCTGGGAGATACATTGGTCTATACTAGTCACACACAGAAGGTAGACATGTATGGGAGTCTACAGACTCCCATCGCTTCAGCTAGCTGGTTAGTCCAGGCTGCCTTCAATCCAGCAGTCTGACCTAAAGACCAGAACACCTTCCTAGCATTTAGTGCTGTATGATTCTTTAGGACTATATGGTTTCACTGAATATAAAAACACCAAGCCTCCCTCAGTGTGTGGTTGAGGAGGGACCCTTACACTTCATTCCTCTGTGTCTGTCTACAGAGGGGCAGGAAGTTCCACTAGTCCTCAGTAGGAATGGGGGAGCATCTAACTGGACACCACAGGCCTCTAGAACATCACCCTGCACAGATGTGAGTATGTGTCCGTTAGTCCATATGGGCGAGCTCTGATGGTGTCAGAGAGCTGATGTAGATGTCATGTTCTCTGACCATGCTGCATTTACCTTGGAAACCAGCAACAGAATATCTAGGAAGCTGTCATACATTTGGAAACTTTAAGGCACACTTTCAAAGAATTCAATAATCAAAGAACAGTCATAATAGAAATGAGAGAATTATGTGGAATGAGATGATGTGAAAACAATTGTTCATATGAAAATCTGAAGGAGTCATTCCATGGCTCCTGAACATCCACTGGGTCCCAAGTAACAAAGCAAGGGCCATGCCTTGCTACAGGAGTGATAATCCACCAGTGAAACCTGCAGGAGATGGGCAGGGAGGAAGGCAGAGCTGCCCAAGAAGGGCAGAGGGAAGTTAGCAGGAAGAAGTCTTAATTTGAATTTAGGATCATGGGAAGGTATTTTCTAGTGTTCTTGTTTGGTTTCTGACTAGGAATCCTGGACTAGCCAACAAGCTAAAGTGATGAGAGTCTTTCTCCCATCAAGAAACACAAGAAAAAAGAAAAGCAAAGCAGTGTGAGTCCCCGGAAAGTTCAGAGTTCCTCAGTGACCAAAAGAAAAATACTGAGATGGGTAAGATGTGGATGAAGAATTTACCACTTGTAACCATTATCATTTGTAATTTGATCACATGTAAAAATGGTCAATAATTTCAAAGAAGATTCAATGAAGCAGATGAATGAAGTAAGGCAATCAATTCAGAACCTGGGGAAGAATGTCAGCTGTCAGCAATGTGGGGGCTGGAGATGTAGTTCAGTGATAGAGCACTTGCCTAGTATGTACAAGGCCCGGTGTGTGTGTGTGTGTGTGTGTGTGTGTGTGTGTGTGTGTGAAAGAGAGAGTGTGTGAAAGAGAGAGAGATTGTGATAAAATTGCAAACATAGATAAATTAAGCAAGAAAATAGAAACGTTTGTAGTGAAAATTCAATAAATCAAATAAAAACCACAGTGGAAATCATCAATAATAAGACTAGATCCATCAGAGGAAAGGAGAGCAGGGATGGAATACAGGCTAAGGAAATAATATATTCCAACACCCATAAAGAAAAATAAAGAAGTGGCAGGACAGCTTCCAAGAACTCAGACATGACCAGAATAAAACCTAGGAATCCATGGTATGGAAGATGAATCTGAGATTAAAGACTAAAAGCATAGAAAACCTATTCAATGAAATTATAGCAGAAAAGCCTGTATCTAGGGAAGTATATGGTCACCCAAGCACAGGAGGCATTCGGAACCCAAATAGACCATTGAGGAAAGTTTCCACATACATGTGGTCAAGATGCCAAAAATGCAAGACAGAGACAATATCCAGAGCTGTGAGAAAAAAATGCCAACTCTCAAAGGTGAGTGCATCAGAACAGCAGCCCTCTCCACAGATACTAAAGGCTAGCAACGCAAGGGGTGACATATTTCAAGCCCTGAAAGCAAATGACAGCCAACCAAGATCATTTTTTCAGAAAATTACCTTTTAAAATTGGTAGAAAAATAAGGACAGTTAAAGACCAGCACAAACTAAAGCAATTCATGACCACCAAGCCAGCGCTACAGAAGGAATCCTAAACACAGAGGTGGGAAAACAAAATCACAGGAAAGAGAAGTTTTGTGAGAGGAATAGATGAACAAAGGCAAACTAGGAAGGAATGAATCACGCACAACTCAGCAAACTATCACATTCCTAAGACAAATGGGCAAGAAAGAAAAGAACAAACAATAATCTAACCAACCAGAGAAGCAATCAATAAAATTACAGGAATCAGGAAACTTTGCTCGGTAATAACGCTAAATGTAAAAGGTCGCAAGCTCCAATGGAAAGATTCAGACTAGCTTACTGAATTAGAAAACAAGATCCAACTATTTGTTGTCCCCATGAAATATGCCTCACTGGCACACGGAGACTGAAAGTAAAAGGATGGAAGGTGGTTTACCCACCAAACGGAGGCTGGAAACAGTAGGTATAGCAATTCTTATATCTGGTAAAGTCAACTTAAGCCAAAATTAGTCAGATGAGAAAGAGAAGACTACTGTGTATTAACAGAGGGAACCCTCCATCAAAAAATGTAACAAGAATATTTGCAGAGCTCTCTAGAAGAACAGGACGAATAGAATATAGAAATATTTACCTAATATAATAGAAAAGGGGATTGAATTGTATGACTTATACAACAGGGCTGGTAATCCAGACATTCTAGAAGCAGCCATTCAACATCATATTCCTTAGTTTTCTAGAAATGTCTGAGAATGTTATATACAGTGACTCAGGACAAACGAATTCCTTGCCTCTCACAAGTGGTGAATGGGAGTACTAAATGCAACATTTTGTATATTTCTTTAAACGGTGGTTCACACCATAGGTCACCAATGGTCCCTATACTTCCAGGAGAATCTTCAGCAATTTTAGATGCAGTTGAATTAGAAAGTCTGCTCCAGAAGGCACAAACCCCACTAAAGAAATCAAGCACAATTATGTTTTACCACCCTGGTACCAGAATCTGTATTATAGGCAAGGTTTTATAGAGTAACAGAATCAATAGAATGTGTGCACAGATATTATAAAAGGGGATTTTTTGAACTGGCATGTGTGATAAAGGCTGGGAAATCCAACAACAGTCATCTGCATGTTGGAGCGACAGAGAACCAGGCTTTGCAACAGCATGGAGCTAAGGCAGCTTGCACCTAGCACAGACAGCAACGTATAAGAAAGATGAAGGAGGCTGGTCCTTACCACGGCCTCTGACGTGGACAGCTGCTTCTGCAGCCCAGTTCTAGGAAGATGCTTCCTCTGACTCAACAGGTGCAGCTTCAACTTGCCAAAGAGGATCTTCAACAAAAACAAAGCACATATGTGAGAAAGCGCTTGATTTGCGAAAACGAACATCACACCATCACAGCTACAGCCCAAGGACACACTCCTAAACAGACGATACAAAATGCTCAGATCCTCATTCATAAAAACTTTGAATTAATGTATCTCAAAATGTTCATCTCTTGTGTGAGAACATGAACAACTTACATACTTTTTAGACAATATATAAATTCGGAATATACCTCCCTTTAAAAAATATATTTTTTATTTTTATTTTATGTGTATGAGTGTATTGCCTGCATGTATGTGAGTCCACCCATGTCATGCAATGCTGTGGAGGTCAGAAGAGGGCTTCAGATCCCCTGGAACTAGAGCTAAGGATGGTTCGTAGCTGCCATGTGGGTGCTGGGAATCGAACCTGGGTCCTCTGCAAGAGCAGTCAGTGCTCTTAACTGCTGAGCCATATCTCCAGCCCCTTACCTCCCTTTTAACCCCTACATAAGACATTTATTTATTTATATTTTTATTTTATTTTTTGGTCTTTTCGAGACCGTCTCCCTGTAGCCCCACCTGTCCTGGAACTCACTATGTAGACCAGGCTGGCCTTGAACTCACAGATATTCACCTGCCTCTGCCTCCCGAGTGCTGGGATTAAAGGCATTTGCCACCACGCCCATCCCAACACTTATTTTTTGAAAGGGCAAAAATTTAACATTATCAGCCAGGCATGATGAAACACGTCTGTAATCCTGGTACTCAGGAGGGTGAGGCAGCAGGACTGTCATGGATTGGAGGCCAGTCTGGGTTACATAGTGAGTTCTAGACCAGTCTGGGCTACAAAACAAGGCCCTGTCTCAAAATAAAAAAGCAAAACTGAGCATTACCTCACGAAGCTGATTATTGCTTGTTATAAGAAACTGCTCTCCTGCAACAAAATGGGCTTCTTGCTCCAGTTCCTTAAGACGAGCCTGGAAAGGTTTGAAATATAATCATTTGTAGTTTTTACAACTTAAAATTATTTAGTTTGCTTGTGAAGCAAATCTCAACAAAAGTCCTTAATGGAATAAAAAAATAATCTATAATTTACGAATATGGACATTTAAAAGCATATGTACTGACTTATGGTGGAATTTTCAGGCTCATAGAATCACCCTCCCCCAACCTAGATGAAAGTTAAAGCAAAAATAGAAATACATCAAAATGATGGAGGGAAAGAATGTGTTCACCAGCAATGTTAAAACTAGGAAAGGTTTCCAGTACCATGAGGAAGAAGACAGAAATGGGTTACAGGCTCACAGCCATGGTAGATCAAGATGTCCTGGAAGTCAGTAAGAGAATATGTAAATATGAAAAAAAGACTTGGACAGAAGGCCACAAGACAGCTCAGCAGGTAAAGGCACAAGTCTGACAACCTGAGCTTGATCCATGAGACTAACATGATAGAAGGAGAGAACCAGCTACTGAAAGTTGTCCTCTGACTTCCACACACATGCCGTGTGTGTGCACACATAAGCACACACAAATAGTTAAGTTTAACAAAAATGTTTTAAAGACTTGGATAGATCATTTTCTAAAAGAAACTAATAGTCAATGATGATAGGAAAGATATTAACCTCATCATTAATCAGGAAAACAGAAACTACACTCATGTTATGTGTGGTTTATAATAATCAGAATCTGGAGACAAACTGATGCCTCCTGCCTGGGGCAGACATCACCCACGGTACAGCCTGCAAACACTGAGCCAAACAAGGATGCCAGTGAGGCCGTGATGCAGAGGGTTGAGTGAACAGTCATATACAAACTACTGACTTACAGCTCAAAAACAAGCTGAACTAGATTATTTAGACACTGATGTGGAGAACATATGAAGAAAAGAAATAGTGATATGTCTTCCAAGGCAGGGTGGTGGTTACCTTTGGTAGCAGAAAGCAGTTTCTGCCCGGTAAAACACATAGAGCTGTGGCTATCCCATGCTTTGACCCACATGACGGACACCAGAGTTTGCTTTGGGGAAAATCAGGTAGAACGTGCATGTGTGTATGTGTGCATGTGTCTGTGATATCTTTATGCACTTTCCCATAGTTTCATTTTTAAAGAAATCTACTAATTCCTTGAGTGAACTGTGGGGGGGATAAATCTGCCTTTTAATCTTACCCCTAAGGATCCATTGAAAAACCTCCCCACACACATTAGAGGCAATGCTTGCCCCTCCACACACATGCACAGTAGATGCCAATGGGGCTTAAGCCCTTCAACACCTGGTCATCCCTTCTAGTAGCCCAACAGAAGAAAGAACAGTATCTGCAGCTGATGGGGACGGGAGGAAAAGCAGAATGCACTGAGAGCAACGACAAGCACAGATCCTGATACAGCAGCTCACCGCAAGAAGCGCTGATGTTCTCTCCGTCTCTTCTTTGTTCACTTGGATCTTGTGGTTTTCCATCACTGTGATGAAAAATTCAAAGCAGATCATATTTCTACTGCATTAATCAATCCTTTCCAATAGTCTGAAGAGCCCCACTCTCTGCTGACATAATGATAGCAATGCTCATTTTACTTGGGTCCTGTTGCAAGCCAAACTCTACAGAGGAAACAGAAGCATCAAAGAACTGGCCTGCTGGAAACACAGCTTACTGACAGAGCACTTGCCCAGTGTGTGCTAGGTCCTGGGTTCAGTCCCCAGACCAGAGATCAGACCTCAAGGTGTGCGTTGGTGAGTCTGCACTGGCCAGTTCCAATCTGGCCCTCTGCACACCCTGGATAGGGAGTGACTCCCTGGTTCCACTCTCCTGTGCATGCAATAGTATCTGGGCAGAGGCACAGAAGGAAGAGAGCCCTGAAGGGTGCTTAAATGGAGGCTCTCAAGACTATCAGGCTAGGGAGCACAGGACTGGAGGATTGGTATAGATTCAAGATAACCACAGGCAGGTAAATGTCAATGAGACTTCCTTCTCCTGGCCAGATAGGAGTCCCGCATGTCTGATACCCAGGCCTTCAAGTCCTTCCAGACTAGGATGTGATGCAGTGCAGACCAACCCCTCTTGTTGCCCTTGAGATGTAATGCCTATTCTTTTACAAGCCAGAGAGAAGATTTGTTCTCATAGTGGAAAGATTCTCCAGAAAAATGAACATACTTTGTTTTTATGGTAACTTACCTGCCAAAATTGGTATCAAAGGAAGCTCCAAAGTATGAAATAGTTGCCATAAACCATAAGCCTGTTTCATAGGAAGAAATAGATCAGTATGGCTTTAAATGATTACCTGCATTTTGTTGAAAAGCTACTACACTTCAACGTGCTGGGATGAAGGCAGCTCCTGCCAGAAGGGTTCCCCTACTGTCTGTCAGAAGGGCTCCCATACTGTCTATCAGAAGGGCTCCCCTAATGTCTTTCAGAAGGGCTCCCCTAATGTCTGTCAGAAGGGCTCCCCTACTGTCTGTCAGAAGGGCTCCCCTAATGTCTGTCAGAAGGGATCCCCTAATGTCTGTCAGAAGGGCTCCCCTAATGTCTGTCAGAAGGGCTCCCCTAATGTCTGTCAGAAGGGCTCCCCTAATGTCTGTCAGAAGGGCTCCCCTAATGTCTGTCAGAAGGGCTCCCCTAATGTCTGTCAGAAGGGCTCCCCTAATGTCTGTCAGAAGGGCTCCCCTAATGTCTGTCAGAAGGGCTCCCCTAATGTCTGTCAGAAGGGCTCCCCTAATGTCTGTCAGAAGGGCTCCCCTAATGTCTGTCAGAAGGGTTCCCCTAATGTCTGTCAGAAGGGCTCCCCTAATGTCTGTCAGAAGGGTTCCCCTAATGTCTGTCAGAAGGGCTCCCCTAATGTCTGTCAGAAGGGTTCCCCTAATGTCTGTCAGAAGGGCTCCCCTAATGTCTGTCAGAAGGGTTCCCCTAATGTCTGTCAGAAGGGCTCCCCTAATGTCTGTCAGAAGGGTTCCCCTAATGTCTGTCAGAAGGGCTCCCCTAATGTCTGTCAGAAGGGTTCCCCTAATGTCTGTCAGAAGGGCTCCCCTAATGTCTGTCAGAAGGGTTCCCCTAATGTCTGTCAGAAGGGCTCCCCTAATGTCTGTCAGAAGGGTTCCCCTAATGTCTGTCAGAAGGGCTCCCCTAATGTCTGTCAGAAGGGTTCCCCTAATGTCTGTCAGAAGGGCTCCCCTAATGTCTGTCAGAAGGGTTCCCCTAATGTCTGTCAGAAGGGCTCCCCTAATGTCTGTCAGAAGGGTTCCCCTAATGTCTGTCAGAAGGGCTCCCCTAATGTCTGTCAGAAGGGTTCCCCTAATGTCTGTCAGAAGGGCTCCCCTAATGTCTGTCAGAAGGGTTCCCCTAATGTCTGTCAGAAGGGCTCCCCTAATGTCTGTCAGAAGGGTTCCCCTAATGTCTGTCAGAAGGGCTCCCCTAATGTCTGTCAGAAGGGTTCCCCTAATGTCTGTCAGAAGGGCTCCCCTAATGTCTGTCAGAAGGGTTCCCCTAATGTCTGTCAGAAGGGCTCCCCTAATGTCTGTCAGAAGGGTTCCCCTAATGTCTGTCAGAAGGGCTCCCCTAATGTCTGTCAGAAGGGTTCCCCTAATGTCTGTCAGAAGGGCTCCCCTAATGTCTGTCAGAAGGGTTCCCCTAATGTCTGTCAGAAGGGCTCCCCTAATGTCTGTCAGAAGGGTTCCCCTAATGTCTGTCAGAAGGGCTCCCCTAATGTCTGTCAGAAGGGTTCCCCTAATGTCTGTCAGAAGGGCTCCCCTAATGTCTGTCAGAAGGGTTCCCCTAATGTCTGTCAGAAGGGCTCCCCTAATGTCTGTCAGAAGGGTTCCCCTAATGTCTGTCAGAAGGGCTCCCCTAATGTCTGTCAGAAGGGTTCCCCTAATGTCTGTCAGAAGGGCTCCCCTAATGTCTGTCAGAAGGGTTCCCCTAATGTCTGTCAGAAGGGCTCTTCCCCTACTGTCTGTCAAAAGGGATCCCCTAATGTCTGTCAGAAGGGCTCCCCTACTGTCTGTCAGAAGGGTTCCCCTAATGTCTGTCAGAAGGGCTCCCCTAATGTCTGTCAGAAGGGTTCCCCTAATGTCTGTCAGAAGGGCTCCCCTAATGTCTGTCAGAAGGGTTCCCCTAATGTCTGTCAGAAGGGCTCCCCTAATGTCTGTCAGAAGGGTTCCCCTAATGTCTGTCAGAAGGGCTCCCCTAATGTCTGTCAGAAGGGTTCCCCTAATGTCTGTCAGAAGGGCTCCCCTAATGTCTGTCAGAAGGGTTCCCCTAATGTCTGTCAGAAGGGCTCCCCTAATGTCTGTCAGAAGGGTTCCCCTAATGTCTGTCAGAAGGGCTCCCCTAATGTCTGTCAGAAGGGTTCCCCTAATGTCTGTCAGAAGGGCTCCCCTAATGTCTGTCAGAAGGGTTCCCCTAATGTCTGTCAGAAGGGCTCCCCTAATGTCTGTCAGAAGGGTTCCCCTAATGTCTGTCAGAAGGGCTCCCCTAATGTCTGTCAGAAGGGTTCCCCTAATGTCTGTCAGAAGGGCTCCCCTAATGTCTGTCAGAAGGGTTCCCCTAATGTCTGTCAGAAGGGCTCCCCTAATGTCTGTCAGAAGGGTTCCCCTGTCTGTCTGAAGGGCTCCCCTAATGTCTGTCAGAAGGGATCCCCTACTGTCTGTCAGAAGGGTTCCCCTACTGTCTGTCAAAAGGGCTCC